GGGTTGGAAACCCTAATTAGGGTTTAGAAAACCCTAATTTTAGATATATGGGCTTTGGATTGTCGGACTCGCATGTTTGGACAAACAGATTGGGATTATGTATTAAACCCGACCACACTATATGATTGACCTAGTAGATTGATGGACTTAATGGATTAAGTCCTTAATGGGTTAATGTAACATCTGGACTCCCCATGTATATTATTTACGTGTTTATTTTTGAGATTTACTGAGTGACTCGACGAGTTGTGAGCCCAACTCGTTGAGTAGAGTCGAAGTAGCCACGTGGGTTTAATGAACTGACTTGACGAGTTTGAGAGCCGACTCGCCGAGTTGGTGTTGTGCAATGAAAACCTAAATCCCCGGGGTTGAGGCCTATATAAGAGAACTGATGTCCTCATTTCCGCCTCACCAGCTGCCCAACCTTCCTATGTGAGACCTTAAACGTGTGTAGTGAGCTAAGAGAGTTACAAAGCTAATCTTTGAGTATTCTAGTGCATCTTTTGAGGAGAATAGGAAGTTATCCAGCAAGGAACAAAGAGATTTAGTGTCATTTCGTCCAAGAGCTTTAGTGGGAGGTAAAAGCCTGCACATTTTCTTATCTATTTGGTTAGATCTCATGTTTATGGAAGTTTAGGGTTTCCACCACCTTTTTATTGGGAATTTAAGTATACTGAGTTATCATGAGGTCTAGACCTCAGATCTGGACCTTGTGAGGTCCCTAGAGTCCAAAGGTCCCAACTTTATTCAGCCATATGAGGGTTATTGTGCTTAACTGTTGGGTTTTGAGCATTCTAAAACTCCTAGAGTCCAAAGATATTGATTGTTGCTCTTCAACATTCAAGTCTTGCCACTGCTATGTTCAACGCCTTTGATGTTCCGATGTCCTTGGTTCAACTGCTACCTACAACAAAGCTCTAGATGTGATTACATTCAACTTGGTGAATGATAAGAAGATTCGTCTTTCCAAGAAACTGTTTTGTCAAATTATTGGAATACCCAATTCTCCACTGTACTATAATATTACAAATGCTCAAGTCATTCACATGTTCAACGAGATGAGTCATCAACCCCCACTCACCAAGATCAGTGACTTCAAGAAGTCAAGCCTTCCAAGCATTTGGAACTTTCTTTTTGGTATTTTTCTTCGCTGTTTGACTGGTCGTAGTGTTGGATTAGACAAAGGAAGAATGGAAGTATATGTCATGGTTGCTGGGATTTACTATGATCTTGCTGTTGATTTTTCAACTCAAATATGGAAAGAGTTTCTGAAGAGTGTGCAGAATACCAATGTTGTACAAGGAATTTCGTGTGCTCGATACTGGAGTTTAATACTTCAATATGCTTATGAGAAGGAGGGTATTCCAATTCCTGTTGATGAAGCTAAAGCAGAATTTATGAAGTATCGCTTTCCGAAGTCAGTGGAAGATGATTCGGAGGTTTTCCCAAATGTTGCTAGAATTCCTGATGGTATACTTAAGAAGATTGATCCATCAAATTCTGTCTTGGTGGCTTATTTGAAGAATGTAAATCCTTCCATTGTAACTGGTGTATTGTTAGAAAGTAGTAATCAAGGTTCATCCAAGAAGTCAAAGAAGTCCAAGAAGGTTACTGATGAGGTTGTTGTTCAAGAAAGCCCCAAGAAAGTCAAGTCTAAGTCTCCTAAGAAGGTTATTGTTGAAAAGGAGAAAGTTTCGAAGAAAATTGAGAAGCCTAAGTAGAAGGTGGTTATTGAGTCTTTGAATGAATTAATTCCTTCAAAATCAGGGGTTTTTAAGCGCCTAAGGAAGATGTCTCATAGATTTCGAACCTTGTTTGATGATCTCTCACCAACTGTTCGAAAGACACAGATAAACAGTAGAGGGGTAATTATTTGTGATATACCAGCCCCAGTATCCCCATCCTCGAAGAAAAGACGAGCTGAGGATGTGGCAAAGCATATTGCCGAAAAGAGAAAGAAAAAGAAGTTGGTTGTTTGTGACGACTCCTCTGATAGTGAGATTGTCCCAGAAACACCATTGGGATCGAATTCTCCAAAATTATCCTTACCACAAACCACTACCTTAATTTCACCAACAACAACAAAAATTCCACTTGAAATTGTTCTTACCAAATCAGTTACTGAGGAGGTTCCAATTTCTAACATTGTTGCAAACGTATCTGATACGGGTGTACTTGTTACTATGAGTGTTGAAGGGTCACAATCACTGATTACTCAAGGTATTCGTAATCCATCTCTTTTCGCACCAATTTCAACTGTCGATGTTTCACTTCCACCTTTTATCACTCAAGTTCAAACAGCCACCACCTCACCTACGTTCGAACAAATTCTACAACAGCCAATTACCACTCTCTTTCAATCTCAATCCACCAATACCCCAAAACCCAATTCCGATGATGAAACAGATGGAGGAGGTTTCGGAGGAACGTTTGATGATCTCCACTTTGATTCAGAAGAAGAGGATATACCATATCACATGTTGATGTCTGGTAAGCAATTTAAAATTCTGGACAGGAAACTTAATTCTATTCTACAATCACAAGCTGATTCTGGAACAAAGAATTCAGTTTCGGGAATAGAAGTTGATGTTATGTTGAAGGCAATGGAGCTTCGAATGCAGACACAATTGGACATTGTGGATAAAAATAACGAGTTGAGGGTCAAGGCTCAGGCTGATTCGTTTAACTCTGAAATCAAAGATCTTCATCTGGTAGCAAAAGAACGTCATGTTCTTTTTGTTAAAGATGTCAAGACCGTACGAGAAGATGTCAATCGAAAACTTGAGGAGCTGAAGGTTGAAGTCTCCAAAGAGCTAAATGAGCTGAATTCCAACTATTCGATAATCAAGTCGAATGTTGACACTATAGCGGCTGCCGTCACAAAGATTGTCGAATGGTATCAATCATTCACTCCTAAGTTTGAAGCAAAGACTAATGAAGATGGACAAAATTTCGACAAGATGGGAGCTTTACTTGGTGAACTGAAAGAATTAGTATCAAAACCTGCTCCAACTTCGTTTTTAACCCCTGAGTTTTTAACTCAGAAGTTACACAGTTTAGATCAAGCTATTCAGAAGGATGTTGCTCCAATTTCAAAGTTTGCAAATATGTTACCTAATGGTGCCCCACCTGCTGTCACAGGGGTGCAAGGGGGAGAAAAAGAGAAGAAAGCTCAAGTAGGTAAAACTTCGAAGGTTTTGAAAGAAGGCAAAGATAAGTCCACAACTGTCGAAAAAGTGATACATACTCAAGTTTCAACAAAGGTAGTGTCAACTCAAATTATCACTCCAATAGTTTCGAAAGTCAATACAACACAAGCCATCAAAACCACAACAAGACCAATAATGAAAGGAATTGTGATTGGTTCAACAACTGAAGGTGGGAGTTCAAGTTCTTCAAAGCCAAAGATTTCTGAAGCTGAAAAAGATAAAGGGAAAACGATTGCGATTGAAAAATCAAAAGAAAAGAAGAAGGCTGAGGTAGAAGCTGAAATGGAGAAACAGAGACAAATTCAAAGCATTATGAGGCTTCGTGAGAATGGTCCACCACACATGGATAAGGGAGATCCTAAGAAGTTACATAGTTACGAAAACATCGAAGCCAGAGTGTCATACAATCAAATGTATGCATTCGAGAAGAAACCACGAAAGAGTTATTCTATCGAAAATTCTGATATGAATCAACTCGATTTTCCTGTTAACGAAATGATGTTCTTAAAAGCTCAGTATAAGGTGTTCTTAATTCTTGTAACTCTGATTCTACGTTCATTACTTGATTCAATACTTCTTCACTACCTATTGGTGGCGAAGCTGATACACGACTTAACCGTCCCAATACGAAGTAACGAACTTCAAAAGAATCTGAATTCCCGCTGATGATCTCTAAATTTCTGAATTACAACTGCTCGCCCTAGACTGGCGATTCTCTATCCTATCTCTTATCCTCAAATGCATCTCTGGATCCTAACCATCTACGATCCCCTGACAATAAATTCTCCCTAGCATCTCCTATGTCCTAATAACTCATGCAGAAAGAAAACGAAAGCTCATAATACAATCATAAACAAATAGATAGGAGAAAAGACATACCAGTCGCCACATTTGGTACTGTCCTGGCCTCCTCGGCTGTAAACTGAAAGGCACGTCCTTGAGCCTTCAGAGGCTCTGCTCTACCCTGACCCCCGCCAGTATTCCTCAGGGTAGCTGGTGCTGGGGCCTGCACTGGCCTGACAGCCAGTAGGAGACACTGGGCCTTCATATGGCCCACTTGCTCGCAATGGTAACAAAGTCTGACACCAACCGCTGGAGTCTGCTGCCTACAATCCTTCGCGATGTGACCCTCCTTGCCACACTTGTGACATACCGAAGAAGATCGGCAAACCCTATCATGTACCATGTCGCACTTTCCACAAGTACGACCCCTCTGACTCTCCCGCCTGTAGTCAGCGGCCCTAAATCGCTTCGGCGCAGGCTGTAACTGCGTCGGGGCCTGTCTCTGCTCCCTCAACTGAAGCTCAATCTCTAACTCGCGCCGTCTGGCGGCCTCCAGCAACTCTAGCAAGGTATCACATCTCTGCGTGGACACGAACTGTCTGATGTCCGTCTTGAGCATTTTTTTTTCATGCTTATTTTTATATATGTTTCCTACATATCATTATATCACATATAATACGTTTATTTTTATTTGAACTTACATGCGTTAACTTAATAAAATAGTCTTACTTGCTTACTTTTATATATGTGTCGATATAAATTCAAGTTTCTTTACGTTTTGATGTAAATTTTGTATACATTTTTGTGATTATTTTTATGGCGTTTACTACGTATGAGTTCGGTCACATATAATATAAACTCAAGTTATTCAATGATACTGATATTCTATATTAAATGCAATAATATCTAACTTTTATCGATAAAATGTATCAAAATTTAACTTAAACCCGGTACCGAATACTAGTTATTTCACTATTAAACTCATCATTTCACTATTAAAAGAATTGACAAATATACCCATAACCTAGCCCTTATACATCGACACAAAAACAGCAAACGCCTCCATACTCCATTGCTGTTCTCTCCATCGTTGCCTCCTCAAGCCCTCCCCTGTGAAGCCACCGCCGGTAGCCATCTCCTCCCCACCGGTCGGATATCGTCACAGCCGCCCGCAGCAACATCGGAGACCTTCGACCCCACAGCTAAGGTTCGTGTTTGTTCCTGCTTCTGCATTCTTCTTTCTTTTTCCTGCTGTCTGCTTTCATTCTTCTGCGTTCTTCTTTCTTTTTCCCTTTGTTTTCTGGTAATTGGAACGCAAAAATTGTGGATTTGTTTGTGCCGGTGTCGATATTTTTGGTGCTGCCGTCGATTTTTTTTTGTGCTGCCATCGACTATACTGATTTGAAGTCGTATCTGATCTGAATTTTGTGTTGCTGTCAATTTTTTTGATTTGAAGGTGTAGTTTACCTCACATCAGAACTGATTTTGACTGAAATATCTTTAAATTTGTAGTTTACCTTTGAATGTGAAATGAGAACTAATTACAAACGGCAATTGTGTATGTGTTTGTGCTTCAATTATCAAGAACCTAGATGTTAATTCTGTTATTGTAATAGTAGCATGGAATTATTATAACTGCAGCGACCATGGCTGAACAAGAAACTCTCATTGATGAAAACTTCCCCTTATTTTCTCAAAAACCAATCAAAAGATCCTCCAAACCTGTCACCACCATTGCTGATACCCCTACCCCCACCCACCACGAATTGGTCAAAGACACATCATCCAACCCCAACCCCAACACTACTCGCCTCACTTTTTCTGACCTAAATCTTTCCGATTGGGCCCTTCAAACCTGCAAAGAATTAGGCATGAAAAAACCTACCCCTGTTCAACAACACTGCATCCCTCGTATCCTTTCTGGTGAAGATGTATTAGGTATAGCTCAGACTGGAAGTGGTAAAACCGCAGCTTTTGCATTGCCTATCCTACACCGCCTCGCGGAGGATCCTTTTGGTGTGTTTTGTCTGGTGGTGACTCCCACCCGCGAGCTGGCATACCAGCTGGCAGAACAATTTCGGGCCCTTGGATCATGCTTGAATTTAAGATGTGCTGTTATAGTTGGTGGGATGGATATGATTAGCCAATCACAGACCTTGATGCAACGCCCTCATGTTGTAATTGCAACTCCTGGAAGAATTAAAGTTCTTATCGAGCAGAATCCTGATATTCCTCCTGTCTTTTCTAACACCAAGGTAAGGAATGGAATGGTTCATTCCATTCCATCCAACAAAACATACCATTTGTTTAATTTGTGATGTGATATGGAAGTTAAGTTTAACATAATTTCAGTTCTTAGTGTTGGATGAAGCAGATAGAGTTTTGGATACGGGTTTTGAAGATGAGTTAAGAGTGGTGTTCAACTGCTTACCAAAAAACAGACAGACTTTGTTATTTTCTGCAACAATGACAAGCAACCTCCAATCATTACTTGAGGTTTCTGCAAATAAAGCGTACTTTTATGAGGCTTATGAAGGGTTTCAAACAGTGGATACTCTCAAACAGCAGTATATATTTATTCCTAAAAATGTGAAGGATGTTTATCTGCTTCATATTTTGTCACGAATGGAAGATATGGGGATCCGATCTGCCATAATTTTTGTTTCCACATGCAGGTATTATGATTCCTTCAAATTCCAAATTTTTTTATTTAAAAGTAAAGAGAATAAAGTGTAGTAATTTATCAGGAGCTGTCATCTTTTGGGATTATTGATGGAAGAGCTTGATCAGGAAGTGGCTGCATTACATTCATTCAAATCACAGTCTTTAAGGCTATCTGCTCTTCATAGATTCAAATCTGGGAAAGTCCCTGTGTTGCTTGCAACTGATGTTGCTAGTAGGGGTTTGGACATTCCTACTGTTGATCTTGTCATTAATTATGATATTCCAAGGTAACCCTAAACCCTAAACCCTAAATCCTAAACCCTACAAAATATATAATATATTTTAATTTAATTGATAAAAAAGTGGATAAACTATTTCAGATATCCAAGGGACTATGTTCATCGTGTTGGAAGAACAGCTAGAGCTGGTAGAGGAGGATTAGCAATAAGTTTCATCACCCAGGTTTGAACAACAATGAGCTTCTTTAAGCCCATTTGAATAAAAACTAGAGTAAATTACATTTTTGCCCATGTGGCATAGTGATTTTTTCTTGTTGCTTTTTTGATCCATGTAGCACCAAATTCTCATGTTCGTGATCTATTTTCGGCGGTTAAACATGTCAAATGACCTTTTTGCCCTCCGTCCATTACAGAGTCTCAAGGACCAAAACGTGAGAAAATGTTGCCACAGGGACTAATAAAGTAACAAGATTCCTTTTTGTAGCAAATAAAATAACACTCATAAAACATGGGCAAAAAATGTAGTTTACTCAAGAAATTATGAGTTGACAATTTTGCATGATATATCATAACATGTCATGAAAAGATAAAGTTGCTTATATGGATTAAAATTTTGGCAGAATATTGTATATCTTTTTTTATGATATAGAAACTGACATTGGAAAGAAGTTGCATGATTTTTTGTATAAAATATACAATTTATTCATATTTAAAGTTGATTAATTTGGCAGAATGACATAGACCTTATTCATGAGATAGAAGCTGATCTTGGAAAAAAATTGGAAAAGTTTGAGTGTAAAGAGAATGAGGTGCTTGAAGATATTACAAAGGTAAGTTTTCATTATTCTCTTCAAAAATGTTCCCTGTATTATTGTTTATGAAAGAAATAGCAACCTACTTTTGCTTTCATTTCATTCTATCACAGATCTATTTTCATTTTTCTTCTTTGACAAGGCATTGTAGTTTGGAATTCTACCTACCGAATTATAGCATTGCACTTTTGAAGCTTTTTATATTAGGGCATTATTATACTTTTGAAATATGTATACAATTGAATTAAATTGCGTTAATTTGCAGGTTTATAAGGCAAAACGTGTGGCGACAATGAAAATGATGGATGATGGTTTTGAAGAAAAGGCAAAAGCAAGAAAAGCACAGAAGATGAAGAGTTTGGCTGAGAAAGGATTGTTGACGAAAAACAAGAGACGAAAAAGAGAAACATATGCAAATGCATCACACTAGTTTCAAATTCAATACCAATATACCATGAATTTTTGTTGTTCAACTACATAGTTTACATTAACCGATAAAAGATTGAAATCACTCATTAGTCAAAGAGAGACTGTTGATTAAAATTTGTTATTTGTTAATTACATCAGACACAAAAAGAGAGATTGGCATTTTAGTGATGTACATTAGTAGAATTTGGAAAAAAACAATTTCAACCCATTAAATTTATTTAGATAAAGGTAAAATAGATATTTCATGTAAGTGAGGGACCAAAATCAAAACAAAGCCAAACCCTAGGGACAGTCCGGGTGAAAATTAGTATGATGAATGTAATTTAGGTTGTGTTTGGCACGCCACAGTTAGCTTATAAACTAACTTATTTTTCGAGTTTTATTAAGTTACGTTTGGTAAACCAAAAATACCTTATGTCGGTTTTTTTTAAAAGCTTCTTAGGGTTTTTTTTTTTTTTTTTCAAATATATCTTTTGATTAATTATAGAAAACATATTATTTTAAATACTAGTTTTTTAGCTGCTAACTAACTTTTCATACAACAACTAGCTTTTTAGTAAGTACACCTAACATAACGTTAGTTACAGTTTATTAATAAGGGAAAATGATCTATAAGGGTAACATAGTTATTGTTTTGTATACGTTTAGTCTTTTTTGTTTTGTTTTTGATTGTGTGTGTGTGTGTGTTTTCTTTTTATTTATTTATTTTTTGTAAAATAAGCTATTTAACTTGTTGTTTTGTATACATTCAGTTCTTATGACCGCTACTGAGGACCGACTACTTTAGGTTAAGTTCTCATTTCGTACACATTTAATTCTTACTGTTTGTTTTTGATGCAAAATAAGTCCTTATTGTTTGTGTACACTTTTAGCCCTTATGATTATGTTTCTTTAGGTTTTGCTCACGTGACATCCTACGTAGGACAATAATTAGAGAGGTGTTCTCATACATGACTATTCCCTCACTTATATCAATGACCTAATTCACGAATCGGTCAAATAATGGTGGTGCCCTAGTTTTCTCCAAGAAGATGTTTTCGAATTTAGTTTTATCTATCTCAATAGTAGACAATATGATTCTTTGTGATTGCTTTCTCCCAACTCGAATTGGGGCTTCAAAGACAAATAACACCCTGAAAAAAAGTTTAGAGTCTTCCTTAATTCCTTGATAAGTCGATTTTGACCATTTTTCAGCGAATATATATATATATATATATATATATATATATATATATATATATATATATATATATATATATATTATATTCTTTTCAAATTGACCCCAAATTTTAAAGATGAGTTTGCAACTGCTAAAGAGGAGGTTTATTGTCCTTGCGTGTAACCCAAAAGAACTATGCTATAATTATTAACAGTATAAGCAACTGTTATGAATGTGGACACTATTTCCAACAATTGAAATCATTATGGCTAATTTTGACATCCCAAATTTCACGGCCAGAAAAGACCGATTAATTTATACTTATTTAAAATCAGAGTATCTTTTTTTGAAGAATAATACTGCAGAATTTGTTCCCAAAAACATGATGATGATATTATCAAAGCATTTCTGAAGAAATGAATTTTATTTATATTACAAATATTGGGGTGTCATCATCAATACATGTGCTCTCGTGCCACTACATGTAATACAAGAAACTAAGTGGGTCAGGCCTGGGAGCCTGGTGAGCACATAGGGTTTTCAACCCATAATAATTAAATTCTTTTAATTATATGTTTTCATCAAATCATTCAACCTGATCACCCATTCCCGCTATCCTCACTTTCTATCCTTAAAGCATCTAATTTAAGGGATCTATCCTAAGGATCATCTTCAGGATAGACAATAATGTTTAGGGGGTATTGCTTAGCAATATATGTCAATAAGGAAACCATGGGAGGATGGAGTACACCTGGTGAAAACTTAGTTCAAAAACACCTACAGGTTGCGAGCCTACTAGCGTTCCACTGGATTGTCTAGAATAGTCCGTGGTCATCATCTATACTCCGCCAGAAGACTATATCATCTTTAAAGTCAAGGCCTCTCATCATCTATTTCATCTTTCATCTCTCATCATCTATATCATCTTTTATTTACCCATCTCTACCCAATATATTTATAGGTATAAAAATACATATACAATTTGAATAAAGTTAAACCTGTATAAATTGTTCATCTAGCATAGATATCAGGAAAACAAAATAATAGACACATATAACATGTAATTTATCTTAAATACTTCATATCTATGTGTAAGATGAAAGTAACTATACAATCATTTGTTAAAGTGATGCCTCGAAACTTGGACAAGTTTCGCTTCTAGCAACTGACTTTTCCTTTGATGTAACCAAGTATCATTATCACTAAGTCTTAGTCTAATATTCTACGTGACTGAAAATAGTTTAGACCTATCAATCATTGCAATGAATACCGATAGTTCTATCAAATAAGGATCAACAAGGTAGGAGAGTTGGGAGGCATGAACATTTCGGTGTATAGCCTTTCTGAAATCCAACAACCAAGCCAACATGACCATTCTAGACACCTTTCCGGTAAGTAGATCAATCAATATTATAACTTGGAATTACATATAGTTCTTATTTATAAATTCATAACAACGACTATGAATTTAAATATAAATACACTAAAATAAAATAAAGTGTAATTTAACTTACATGGATTTCCTAGACAAAAGTCCGAAAATTGCACAGGCAGAACTTCAGGCTGATAGCTACTAGATGTCGGGCTCCTTGGGACCTCAGAACTTTCCAAAAAACCCTAAACTCTACGAAAAACTCGGACTAAATTGAGAGAGAGAGAGAGAGAGAGATTTGGAGATGTGTGGGGAAGAATGAACCTTAGGCAACTATTTATAGGCTGAAACACGGGCTTGCGAGCCACGCAAGGGCCATGCGTGCTGTGGACATGGTCGATGTGGCTCCTCAGGTGCGCTAACATGTGTCCAGCTCCGTGTGGGGCGATGTGGCTGGATTCTAGAAGGTCATGCGCGAAGCACATATGCGCGTGTCGAATTTCAAAATTTCAAAATTGCATAACTTCTTCATACGGAGATCTACAACTTTCATTTAGACTCCGTCGGCTAATTTTGAATTTGATGTATTTCACACTGGCTTAGACTGTTAAAGCCCGTATAAAATGCATAACTTTGTCATCCTACGTCCGTTTTCGAATGTCTTTATATCGTTGGAATCGTATCAGTTATATCTTCAACTCTCGTTCAGATTGTTTTGGCTAACAATCAACCGATCTAAAATTTGATTTCTGAGTTGTATACTGGTACACTGAATCTTAGAAACATCATAACTTCCTCTAATAAAGTCAAATTTAGATGTTCTCTATATGCATGCTCTTGGTTTAACGACAACGATGACTTTCATTTAGATCACTAAGGCTAAGAAAGTAACCTAACAAAAATTTACTTTTCATGACGCGCGTTGCCTTATCGGTTCGGTCGCGAAACTTCGAATGATCATAACTTCTTCGTCATCAATCTGATTTAAGCATTCCTTATATCTCCTTAATCCTTATCACGACTACTTCAACTTTCGTTAAGGATATTCGTCCTAATTATTATTTTTATTAGACGCGTATTTTATTCCTATTATATTATATTATAATAATCACATAATATATACACGAAACACATCATATTCACATAAGTCTTCTTTATTACGTCAAATAGGTTACAATTATTGACCCTTACTATTACATCATCTTATTAATGCCCAGTGGGAAATGCGGGCGCTACAATTCCCCCCCCCCCCCCTTAGGATAATTCCGTCCTTGGAATCATGCATCATCAAACATATGTGGATATCAATTATTCATCTCACTTTCTGTCTCCTAGGTGAGGCACGACCCATTCGAATGTCTCCATCGTACTAGCACTAATTTGAACATATTTCTTCATAACTTCTTCGTCTTACGGTCAATAATCACTTTGGGCTCTTTAATCATCCTCTTATCTTCATCAATTCTTATCTCCGAAAGTGGAATTATATCGAGAGCTTCTTCTGTGAACTTCCTCAAATAACACACATGGAAAGTGTTATGAATACCATCCAATTCTTCTGGAAATTCCAGCTTGTAAGCTTGGTTCCTAACTCTCTCAAGAACCTTGAATGACCTAATAAATCTTGGATTCAGCTTTCCTCTCTTTCCAAATCGTATAAGTCCCTTCCATGGCAAGACTTTAAGCAACACCAAATCTCCAACTTTTAAAGTCATTGGTCGCCGCTTCTTGTCAGCATAGCTCTTTTGACAATATTGAGCTGCTAACATCCTTTCCTTGATTACTTTCAGCTTCTCAACAGTGTGATGGATGATCTCAGGACCCATAAACTGCTTTTCTCCGGCCTCAAGCCAATAAGACGGTGTACGCCACTTTTGTCCGCACAAGGCTTTATAAGGTGCCATCTTAATGCTCAAATGGTAACTATTGTTGTAGGAAAACTCTACTAGGGGTAGATACCCATCCCAATTACCTTGGAATTCTAGGGTACATGCTCTTAACATATCTTCTATTGTTTGAATTCTCCTTTCACCCTGACCATCATTTTGTGAATGGTAGGCTGTACTCAAACACAACTTTGTACCCATCTCTTCTTGTAAGCTCTTCCAAAACCTCGAAGTGAAACGACTGCCACAATCTGACACAATCGTTAAGGGAGCACCGTGAAGTCTTACTATCTCCTTCACGTAGACATCTGCAAGCTTATCCATACACCATCTCTCATTGGCCACTATGAAGTATGCACTCTTTGTGAATCGATCCACGATTACCCAAATCATGTCGTGACCATTCCTCGTCCTAGGTAACTTGGTCACAAAATCCATGGTGATGTATTCCCATTTACCCATGGGTACAGGCAAGAGCTCTAAACTCCCATAAAGTTTCTGATGTTGCACTTTAACTCTCGTGCATGTCACACACTCAGCCGCATACTTAGCAACATCGAGCTTCATCATCGGCCACCAGTAGTAAGGTTTCAGATCCCTATACATCTTGGTGATGCCTGGGTAAATATAGTACATGGTCTTGTGAGCTTCTTCCATGAGAAGATCTCTCATTCCTCCCATCTTAGACACCCAAATCCTTTTTTGGAATACCTTCAATCCTTGACTATTTATGCT